AAATTTGGAAACGTTAATGTGGGTTATCACAATGAGTTTTTCCTCTCAACTGTTTCTTCTGAAAGAAGTCTGGGATGCTTATCCCACACCCATTTGCCTTGGACCAGTGCTCAGGGCCACGCTGTTGAGCTGGCATTCCCAGGAAGAGAGTGTGTTCCTGCTCGTGTTCTCCTCAGGCCAGTGCCACAGACAGATGACAGTGAGAAAAAGGGGCAATTTTTACCTGAAAAATCTCTTTCAAAATCAGTTAGGTTCAGGATATAACCTCTTGAATTATAAGAGGAAGTCATCTGATTGCAACTTTTGCAGGAAGTGGGAAGGAATCTTCTGTACATCACCATAGGGGCATGCTGAAAGGACACATTTCTCATCTAGTTTTGGGGGGCATTTTGAGCCATTTCATACTATCAAAGCTCTGCTTATCAAACATAAATCAGATTCAAGTGCCATGTCCGTGTTCTTTGTTCACTGCTGTGTATGTTTTCGAGAGTGGGAAAAGCTTTACTGAAAGTTCCCAGAAAGGATGAAATGTACTTCCTGGGGCAGACCCAATTAACAGCAGTTTCTCTAACAAGTTTATGGCATTTATTTATGTTTTCGCCTTTAAGACTTCTTTCTACTGGGAAATCTCTGACTCTTATATAATACAAGTACAGTTCTAGCAGGGTGGAGCCATTGGTAAGAGGTCATTAAGCAATACATTCCTTTAAGTCGCTGCTGTAAAATTGTGTGGTTCAATTCAAAACACAGCACAGAGTGGCAATTACCTGCATTAGCCTGATTCTCTGTCTGAAATTATTTAGTTGTTCCTAATATTCCTACTACTAGCCACATTGGGGAAATGAAAATTCCATTTGAAGGGAATCTGTCTGTTCCACCAAAGGTCAAAGAGCAGCTTGGCACAGCCCTGGCGTACACTGCTGCACTTGTGCTCCGTGCAGCCCCTCTTCCTCTGTTCCTCAGCAGCCAGAATTGTGATTTTCTTTGCCCTGGGGCCTCAGTCTGGCTCCCTCAAGACCTGGGAAGGGTCCCCAGTTCTGTACATCCACTGAATGCTATCCCTGATTAATTAATCCAAGCACACAAATCCCAAAAGGTCTTGGTATTTTGGGAAGGCAAATGGTGTCTTACAAAGTCAACTGAGATCAAGCTGGATTTGCCAGTTGTACACAGATGCCCTAGCAATTTGAAGGGATTGATCTGATATTTTTGGTGATCAAAACAACCAGACACGTGCTGCTTGTGTCAGGAAAGCTTCCTGGGGGAATGTGAGCAGAGGGGAGGAGAAGATGCCGGATTTCCAGAGAAGGGAGAGCCAGTGAAGAAGTAAGTAGCTGTAGACAGCAAGGTGTAATCTAGTAAATCCTCTGAATAACTTAATTAGATTTGATTCAGCAAAACACATGTCCAGCTTCTGCTGAACACCAGCCAGTGTTGGGGGGCAGGGGCTTTCATGAATCCTGCAGGAAACAGCTATTGCAGAGATTAAAGGAATTGGGCAGAAGAGGTACTGACATACTCCTGCTTTGATGAAGATTTTTAACCTAAAGGTGCCAGATTTGGTGATGCTGCCAGAGAAAAGTATCATGAAACTGGCTAAGGGGAAGGGGCAAAGGGTTTCATTAGCTGAGGCTGGGAGGAGTGAGGAAGCTGTAGCCCAGTCAGGCTTTGCCCTTCTCTTTTCCCTCCTCACCCCCCACTCTGTGTGAATTTTGCATTCACGCATAGGGAAAAAAGGAGAAACACCACTGAATTCAAGGGAGAACACACTGTTCTTTTATGTGGCATCAAAGATACAGAGCAATTGTGAAAAAATCTGGGGTTTTTCCTGTTTAGGTTTTGCTGTCAGACTCCAGGTAGCTGTAACTCAGCACAGGTCCATTTTGGAGCCAGCTGGAAGTCTGGTGGGCGTAATTGCATTGCTGCCTGTACAGTTCTTGACTTGCATCAAGGTGAAAAAGAGAGGCAAGTCCACTGCACTGCAAAAGTTTTGGAAAGTGCTAGAGAAACAAAGACGTCCCTGTGAAAACTGAGGTTGTAGAAATCCTCTCTGTTCACTTCTTGTTTTTAAAGGGCAGCCTTCCCCACTTGTGCCAGATGATTTGGCTCTTCTTCATCCTTCTTGCTTCATAATGCTTGGATCAGCTTTTTAGTGGGCAGTGCTTTTTGTCGGGACTGTCAAGAGGTGATCTCCAGAGCAGGATGGATTTTCTGTCTTCCTCTGGCTATCTCACTGCCTGGCTGTGTGCTTTTTGCCTCCTCTGCATTTTGTCTACTCATCTTTGTGTTTTACTCTGCCTTTTAGTTTCTTTCCCAGTTCTAGCTCTTTCTGACTGTTTTTGGACAATCTTTTGTTTACTTTTTGCCAAGTTCCATTCTTTTAGCTGAGGATGTTCAGAAACTGGATCTGGTCCTCAGATATATACAATCCAATTTATAATGGATGCCAAAAATACATTTTCATCATGACGCTTTGAAGACATTTATTTCAATTTACTTAAAATGTGCCTAGGTCAAACCCTGCATGTGTATACAAACTTAACAGCAAAATGAGACGTGCCTCACCATTTAAGATTTGTTTGCTCACGACTGGATCCTGCACAGACTTGCAGATATCTTCTCTGTTGAAGAGCTCGTATCAGCTTGGGTTCTTTTTAAATTTGTCTACTTATTAAGCTTCTCATTATGATAGTACGTGAGTATCCCGAAGAAACACTCTGTTTAGGAGTTAAATGACCTGCTGGTGGTCACTTAATGACTGAGGTTTGCAGCAGAGCTCGTAGCTGAGCTGTAGCTCTGAGCAGAGCCTGGGAGCTGGCAGTGTGGGCTGTGCTGGGGCTGGCAGCCTGGTGTCTCAGCAGGGAACAGCAGCGAGCGTGCTGCGCTCTCCCCGGGTTCCAGCAGCAGCGACGTGACCCCGGTGCCTGCCGCAGGCACTGCCGCCCAGCCGGGGGAAGCGACATGTACGGCAAGGAGGGAGATACTCTGGCCTGTGAAATGATCTATAGCTCAGGGGACGCCTCCGAGGCCAGAACCCAAGGGTTGCAGTCCCAGTTCTTCCCCTGCCAGCAGCTGTGCGAGTGCACAGAGCTCTGTGCTGCAACCTTGGGGTGCAGCCACAGCTCACACAGAGCTGTCCCAAAGTCACTGCAGGCAGAGCTGAAAGCCAGCACTCCATATGCAACGGCAACAAGTATCCAACGCCGGGCTTTGAGAAGGAAAAGAGGAAATGGGTACTGTTTTGGTCTCCTGGGTCACCCACCCAAGTCATTCTGCACAGCCAGACCAGATAAAAGGTTTATGACTCTGCCTTTCTTCCCTATCAAGTACTTTGTCTCTTTAGAGTTTGCATTCCTGGAGTTCATTCCCCTCAACAGACTCAAGTGAGACTGCTGTTACCCGTGTGTCTGCAAGTATTTGATTTTCACTCTGGTTTTCCAAGAGGAGCAACAAGATCCTGGTGTTCCTCCAGTCACGGCACTGTAGGTGCAGATTCCTCTGCTGCTTGTTTTCTGCCATTGCTGTACTCACATTAGTTAGATGAGACCTCTGACACGGGTCTTCAAGTGATATGTTCAAAGCCTGGGGAGAGGAAAGGGCTATGGCTATAAAATTAAAATAAATCCCCAGGAGTATGGGCTGAAATAACCTGGTGCCATATAACCTGCTTGGTAACCTCTTAAGTGTGCAGTACTTTTGCATTTACAAAAGAGTTTTCATTTAAAAACAGGGTAAGTCAGGCTTCATCCATGGCAGATTTTTCCCCACATATTTCCAGGAACAACAGTATTTCCACATTCCAGAAAGCTCCCAAAGCAAGCTCCAAGCTGAGGTGTATTTTGGGACTCTGTAAGCCTCGGGTTTTAAACTGTGCACCACTGAGAGATGATGCAAGAGGCCAAAAGGCACAGTGTCATCTGCAAGAGAATTCAGATTTGGACTGTATGGTGTATCTCACTCAAAGCTACTAACTTTTGGTGGAAATGATGTGGCACCTCAGTCATGATCTTCATTAAAAAATTCTCCCTGTCTTTGCAGGGATTTTCCCTGTCCTCTCCATCTGCTTTGTGGCATCTCACAGACGAATTTAATTAGGAAGATTTAAGAGGAGATTTCATAGGAAAGCAACAACTTCTCCCTACTGCCACCCTCGTGGCTCCTACTTTGCAGTGACTTCTCCCACCCCTCAGGAGAACAAGCAGTTCTGAAGCAATGGGGTGAACAACACCAGTTTCCCATGTAGTTTCACACATCTGGGTGACTGAGAACTCCAAAAGCTACAATCTCTGATAAATTTTGCTACATTTTGGGGGGGGGGAGCAGTGATGGTGTTTATGTGTGGGGTTTCTGCTATCTTGTAAGGCTTAAGCCCACACAAGTGCTCCAGCTGAGGCACGGGCAGACTCCCTCCCGTTTTTGCACAGAGAACTGCTCTCCAAAGGCTCAGGAGCGGTCGCTGGCTCTTCTGTCTGTCAGGAAAGAAGTCAGACGCTGGCCAAAAGCCTGCAAGCTCTTTTGAGGAAGCACACGGGCACTGCCTGGACACACAGGTGACCGCACGCCTCAGTTCTGTGGGAAGCAGCTCCAAACGCGGCTGGCAGAGCTGCAGAGCGGGAGCTGGCAGGCTGCTGTATGAAGTAAACTCCAAAGCTGAGCATCTGTCGTAGAGAATTGCCTCTGTTCCCACATCTGCCCTTAAAGGGGCACTTCCAGTCTCCCCAGGACCTTGCCGGGACTCTCCGGCTCTCAGCTGAAGCGCCTTCTCCTCGCCGGTCTAAGTGTGCCATGATTTAAGCCTCCTACGCGCCTCTTTTCCCACCCGCTGGGGGAACTCCGGCTCCGCGGGTTAAGCAGCGGGGCCACGCCGCAGACAAAGAAAGGTTCTCTGCGCGCTGTCCTTGCCGAAGGACGGCGTGCGGCCCCGAGCTGGGCCCGCCGGGGCTGCTCGGGCTGCTCGGGCCGCGCTCCGGCGGCTCCGGGCGCTGCGCGCTGCCCGCGGCGGGGCTGCCCGGGGATGCAGCCGCGCTAAGAACAAAAGCCCTCAGCGCGCTCTCGCTCCGGGGCTTTGAAGCGGCGCGGTCGAACTTGGATCTCTGCCCCCCTCGGCCGAGCCGCGGCGGCGTCCGGGGCTGAACTCGCCGGCGCCTGTTCCCCGCACGCCGCGGTCCCGCCGGGGCTGCCCGCGGAGGGGCCGCGCCCCGCGCCCCCCCGGCCGCCCCCGCGCCGCGGGACCTTGGCTTTGCCCTTCGCACGGCAGGTGGCGGGGCCAGCGGAGAAGGATGCGTGTCTTCCCGTGGGGATTTTGGCTGCTGTGTGTCGCCTCCGCCCCGGCTCGCGGTGACAGCGGCAGCAAGGCGAGGAGCTGCGCCGAGGTCCGGCAGCTGTATGGAGCCAAGGGCTTCAGCCTCAGCGGCGTGCCCCAGGCCGAGATCTCCGGTGAGTCCCGCGGGGCCGGGGCGCGGTGCCGCTGCCGCCGGGGATGCCCGGGCCGGGCGCGGGCAGCGCTCGCCGCCCCACGCTGGAGTTTGTCGCGGGTCGTGGGCGGCCAGAAGTCGGAGCGGAGAGGTTTCCCCGAGAGCCGGGCTCCCCTCGCCCCTCTCGGCACCGCCGCAGCCCTGCCCGGGCTGCCAAGGGTCTCTCCCGGCGGTGGCGATGCGAACGGAACTGTGAGAGGGGGGTGGTCGCACCAAGTGTTCAGCGGTGGTTCTTTCTTTTTTCTCATTGTCTCCTTGCTTCTGTTCTGAGTACAATTGAAACGGGTTCCAGGGTTTTGATTCGGAAATCAGAATAATCGGAGTGTGATGGGTTTTGGTGTCGGGGCTGGAAAACGCCACGAGGTTGTGAGAGAGGAATTGATTTGTTTAAATCTTCTTCTGGGTGAGAAGCAAAGGCGTAAAGGGTATTTGCCACTTACTGAAAATGAAGCAGGAGTAAAATGACTGTGTCAAACGTGAAGTGCAGAGAAAACCTGTGCAACCTATATTAGAGTGTGTTCTCTTGTCTTCATTCCGGCTTTGGCTAAATCTTGGTTGATTTCCTCCTCTTTGTAGAAACAACTGAAATAGCAAAGAATATTCAAGGTCTGGTTTGTTTTGGGTTTGGATTTGGGTTTTTTTTCTCCGAAGGCTTGGGGAAAATATGCTGATGCATTGTAGGGTTTTTTAAAATTCTCATCAAAGTTTTGATACACCAACTTGTGACCCATATCCAAGAGCCCTCCCCTCGCTTGTGGGGAGCTTCCTTCTTCAGACAAAGCGCAAAACATGTAGGCGTACGTGCCAGAGCCAACCCACAGGGACACCCCAGTAAAACTGCAGTTTGTACTGCACATCTAAGCTACAGAATGCCTTATGTTGAATATTTCATCAGGTAATTTTTTAGAGAAACCAATTTGTTGTCTGACCAATGAATGGAGAAGGCTGAACCATGTACATGCCTCATAAATGTGAATAAATTAATACCTTCTTTGTCAAGTTACAACTGAGAGTAAATTTCCCAAGTAAAACGAGCAGTCCTCAAAGTTAAACAGTGGGGAGTTTCAGAATCGTTTGAACATCACTATTAATGGAATAGCACTTCAGCTGAGCAAGAAAGCGGCTTTTTATGAGTTTGCATCTAATTATTGCAGATGTGAATACATTAGCCGTGGTGTTTCAAGTGGGAAGTTCTTGGAAGGCTGAGTGTTTACAAACACTGGTGGAGGTGGCTGCAGCCCTGCACGCGGGGATAGTACTACGGGCAGCCACGGAGGCTCGCAGCAGCTGCAGTCACAGCATCGCCTGTCGCAGGCCAGCAGCCAGTAAAACATCTTGTACCTGCAAGTGGCTGAGGTTCCAGGAGTGTCAGGACACAGATTTCCAGGATCCAGGAGTTGTTTCCTGCTGTGTGTTGGTATGAGCATACACGCTGGCAGTCTCAAGGCACAGTGGTTAAAATTGGAGTATCAAACCAGGCGCCTCTGGCTGTTTCTGTAGACAGGGAAACTCTGTAGATAAATGCCATGAAAACTTGAGGAATACTACATGGAAAGTAACACAAAGAAGTGCTTGGAGGAAGAAGGTCCCACTAATAAACCTGCTGCTGCTACCATTAGCCTGCTGTATAAAACAGCTGCCAGAGTTGATGATTTTCATTGGTCATTACCTCCTGACCTGTGCGCGTCCAGGAACACACTTCTGTGCGCTGTATTACTTGCCCAGTGCAGTTAAAACATCAGTGAGTGTAGATATAACCTTAGAAACATCCTGACAAAGCACAGTGTTGTGTATCCTCTGTGCTTCTCAGCAGCTGTGCAGGTTAGAGCAAAGGCTGGTGCCAGCTTTGCTGTCTCCAAGAAGAGGAGTCTCAAGAGCCTCCTTGCAGTATCCCCACACGTACCAAGTACAGGCTCATGCAGTTTGTAATTCCACATTTGCTCGTTGCTTCGGGCTGGTTCCAGTGGCAGCAGTTCAGCTCGCTGAGCATGGGGGTTCCCCCTGCATGGAGCCTTCTCAGGTGACACCACTGTCACCTGTGAATGCATCCCCGGGCACACAGCTGAGAGGGCAGGTGTGTCCTGCCATGTCTCCACTGAAAGGAGAGGAAAGGGTTTGGTTGTGCCAGGGCAAGTTCAGATCAGATATTGGAAAGAAATGTTCACTGAAAGATTAGCCATGCATTAGGATGAGTTGGTGGAGTCACTCAGAGCTGTGCATACGGGGTTGTTATGGTGGATAAGGGGTAGTTTTGGTGGTGCTGGGTTGATGGCTGGATGAGATAATATTGAAGAGTTCTCCCAACTTTGGTGATTCTGTGATTGGGCAACTTTTGGTTAAGTTAAGAGATGTTGATGAAGTGTTGTCCCCAGTTAGACCTGTGCTGAAGTTTCCTGATGGTGGCCTTCATGTTTTAAGAGCTACCTCATGAACCAGGTTTTTATTCTTTTTCTGAGCTGTCTGGAGACAAAAGCCCTTTCTTTTGTCCCTCTCCAAGGAGACCTTGCTGTTCTTCCCTCCACTGCTTGCCCTGAAGCAAAGGGGAACATTAATTTCTTAGCCCTGTGTCCTTGTCCCCAAAGTGGTGCTGCTGTGCTCTGCTGACCTTGCTCCTGTCTGCCTGTACCTGGCTCCAGGCAGTGCTTGGTGTGTGTTGGTGGCACAGCAGCCCAGCCCCAGGAGCCAAACCCCACACTGCAGCCCCAGAGCTGCCCTGCAGAAGGAGTTCAGCGAGCTCCCAGCACGCAGGCTCTGACTCAGACTGAGATTGGCAGTGTTTGTGTTGGGTTTAGAACACTTACTGCACACTTTACACCTTCTAATCTGTATTCTTAGTTATGATTTGAGGGGATTAGGAATAATCTAGTGTCTCCACGGCTCACCAGAAGGTAGTCCCTGCTTGTGGCTGCACGGATCAGTTGGAGAAGAGTCACACAGTTATTAGCTGGCTAATAGATAGCATCTGATGCAGGGATAGACTCTTGGCTTACCAGATTTCTCATGAACCACCTAGACAGGGTTTCCTGGTTTTTTGCTAATGTTGTACAATGCCTTTAACATGTCTAAGCACTTTAAATGTGTCAGGTGCTGTTATTAAGTGTGTTTAGGGAATACACAAGGTGTTATATCTCAGTACTTTGAAGTCAATCGCAAAATTCCCAAACATGAAAGCAGTGTCTGCTCGTGTTAGCAGTCCTGACAGACAGCATGCGCCCAGAGTCTTGGGTGAAGAGCTGCCTACAGAAAGTTTCTAATGCTGAGGAAAAGCCCCCTACTCCATGAGTTTGGGAAAGTTAGACTACTTACTCCCATGAGATGTACTACTAACTCAATCACAGCTTTCCTGCGAGTTGGAGAGTGTTCCCACTCTCCTTTTGGATGACCCACACCCCTGTTCTATGATTGCTACAAAGTAAGGGAAACCAGTTTGAGAGGTTCCAGGTTTTGTGTTTCTTCTGGAGGCAGCAGCTGTTCCACTGTCTCACGTTCCTGCTGCCCAGACACCACGATCCCACTGCTGCTCTAGGGGTGCTTCCTATTGCCTGTGTTAGGGACTGGCTCACCGTGTGGCTTCTGATAGAAGAGGGTGAGCCCACAGCACCACAAAATATTGCTCTTTTGGGGGGAATATCCTGCTTTCTCTGACTTATGGGAGTGTCTTGGGGTTACGGATGTTGGATGGGTGACTGCTCCCCAGTGTCTCGAGCAGAGGTTTCCTCACGGATTGGAGAAGACCTGAGCGTTGTGATTTGATGTGTATGTGCTTGGCCCTTGTTCTCTGTTTGGTGTGGACTTCTGCTTTGGTTTGTTTATTCCTGAGACTAATTGTTTAGCCACTAGATGTGGCTTGCTGTTAGATTGATCTTGTTGACATGGGAGCTAAAGAAAGGAGGGTACAGCAAAAAGCCAGCTGGACTTTGCCAGGCTGCCCATCCAGTCACACATCCCACACAGATCCTTCCCTGGCTCCCCAGCTGAAAGGAGTCAGAACAATTGTTTTAACCTTATAGGCTGTGTAATTAGGTTTTATGATGAAAACATTGTCAAGTGTATGTGTCTGAGCCCTTTAGAGAAGTGTTATCTAAGTACAGAACAGGTCTGGCAACCAGCTGGGACTTGATCAGGCTCTTGGAAGGGGATAATGGAACCCCATCTCTTGGAGAATATTTCAGCTGCTGGCTCTTCCAAAGTGGGACAAGCCTACATCTGTGATTTGGAACATAAAATCTGGGACTCCTCCTTGCCCAAGGAAAGAGCTGTACCAATGACTAAAAAGCGCTGGATTGCCCCTTTTGGGATGGTCATTCCATTTGGGTTGTATTTCCTCCGGGCAGAGGGATTTCTCAGGATCAGCTCCCAGATAGAACAGCATCCCGTTAATGAGCTGCATTCCTTCGCGGCAGGTCAGAACGGCATTTGCAGCCTGCTGCCTTTAGAGTGCTCTTTCTGCCGAGGCAAAACACCGGGAATTGTGCCTTCTCCTCCGTCTGGCAGGTGTTTTGGTGGGACCGTCCGGGCAGGCGGTGAGCGGTGCCGGGAGCGCTCGGGACGGGATCCGTGTGGATCGGGATCCATGGATCGGGATCCGGGGACCGGGATCCGTGTGGACCGGGCCCCGCGGACCGGGATCCGTGTGGATCGGGATCCGTGTGGACCGGGCCCCGGGGACCGGGATCCGTGTGGATCGGGATCCGTGTGGACCGGGCCCCGGGGACCGGGATCCGTGTGGATCGGGCCCCGTGGATCGGGATCCGTGCATGGAGCGCTGCCCTCTAGCGGCATTCCCGGCCCGGGATCCTCCTGCCGGCTCCCGAGAGTGCTGGGGGCTGCCGGCGTGATTTTTGAGAGAATCTGCCCTTCTGTCGCTGTGAGATGGATGACTAAGCTCTCCACCACGTAATTATCCTTATCAGCTGTGTCTGAAAAAAACCCTCTATTTCAACAGCTTCTTTTGTTGGTGAA